TATAAAAATTAAATATTAATATTTTTATTTAAAAACTAACAAAATTAACAATTTTAAATAAAAAAAATGCGAAGTGCACATCCCTAACAACATCATTTCTCTTCAAGTAAACCAAATCGTTTCGGTTACGATAAATCAAAAATGCAGGATAAAACAACAACGTCAAGGCCCTGGGGGTTAGGTAGATTTCCAAGGTACCATATTCATTATATTCATGATTACCAAATAAGGTGCCTAATTAGGTCTCTTGTTATTTTAATATGCACTTTTATGATATTACTTAAACATGTATTTATTATATTTTTTTTATTAATTTTTATAAAAATTAAATTACGAAAGTGAATATTGTTTTTAATACCAATACCATATGGAATATTTTAATCGAAGTCAATTTTTACCCTTTTTTATATAAATTTATGTTGAAAATGTGCAATAAATATATTATTAACTAATTTTTAAGACACATGTTAGAAAAATCATTTTATTTATATAAGATATCAAATGCTATTATTTCATTTCTATCACTATTACTTTAGTACATTTAAAAAAATAATAAAGTTTTTATTAGGAATAAATTTGTCACTTTAATACATAATTATAAAATTTTAACCTATTTCCAAATTCTCTAGAAATTTGTAAAATTAAAAAGTGAGATAAGTAAAATTAAAGGATGAAGTATTGATCTCAATTCTCAAAATGGATGTATTTTGAAATTTCTAAGTAGCAAACATAGATGTCTATTGTTCTAATTATAGTAAAATGGGTTGATGCATTTGTCAAAATTCTTCAATTATTTTTGGATTTTAATGGAAATGAATTTTCTAACCTATGCCCTAAAGATTCATTTATGGAAATTTTTTTATCATTAACTCATTTAAAAATATCGGTTAATTTTAATTTTATGAACGGTTAAATTAAAATATTTCACATAACATTAATATTAAAAATAAAATTTACTTTTATAATTTTTCATACAAATTAATAGTAAAAGTGATAATAATTTTATCCTTCTAAGTTAAGGAAACCCTAATGAAAATTAGAGAACCTATGCTTATGCATAAATCTAATAACTTAAAGAAAATGAAACGCGAAAATGTACAAATAAATATATCAACTTTGTACTTTTTCTATTTAAGAATATTAACTTTGTCAATTTTTAAATAAGGGTACCAAAACTTTTTAACTTTTTTATTTAAAAATGTTAACTTTTTAACATTTCAATTAAATGTTAAAACATTAACATCATCATCCAATTGATCTTTAAATAAAAAAAATTAAAAATTAATATTCTTAAATAATTAGTTTTACCTTCTTACTACTACCTTTGATTTCTATCAAAAAGGAATTTGTAAATATCAAAAGGGAATTTGTCAATGTCTTTAGTGGGAGACCAAAAAGAAAAGATAGATTGAATGGTTTAGGAATGTACCATTCTTTTCATCATTTCTCAGAGCAAGAAAGGCATTGAGTCATTGCCTAAGCTAGAGTTGTTGGTATTTAGAGGCCTTCCGAGGAGTAACTTTTTTGAAGTGAGGTTTTCTATTTGAATGAAAAGTGGTACTAACTATTGAGGATCAAAGGGCCTACTTAGACATCGATAATCAACCTGCCTCTTGTTGGCCTTCTCAAATTATCTTAAGTGATGATGCAATGTACATAGGAGAAGAAGCCATAGAGTCCTCAGAAATGTCAAGGGCACGCAGCCTGGATAGAAGGTAGATATCGAGGGTCTTTCAAAAGAGAAATTTTCTAATAAAGTCTACAAGAAGTTGGTTGATATAATGAGGTGAAGAATACCAATAAGAGACGTTACATCAGTTTGATATCTATGTTTATCCAAGTATGTTTTGTTTCATTTTCAATTTCAATTTTAGTTTCAAAATAACTATTTAAACCATTATTTTGTTTGTTCTATCAACAGATTGTGAGAGATAGACAGTAACCAAAACTTGGTTTTAAAAAAAGGATGCTAATAAGTGCACCCCGCTAGTTCAACACCAGGTGAGATACACCCTATAAAATATGTTTTATTGATCAGTTTGGAATAAGGGTTGAAACTGTAGAGATTGTCTATTCTTGTTACCAAACAGATTGGAAATAGGTACCTCCCTATTCATCTTCTTCCCCATGAACCCAACACTTTTCCAATACCTTTCTTCTATCCATTTTCAGCTACATTTCTCTTCTCCTCTCACTTGCTGTGACCGAGTTTGCACAAACACAGTGCTGTGTTTGTACAAACCTAGATGATTTAGGTTTGGGACATATCTAGATTCCTTGCGAACCTAGATCCAACCCAACACACGAATCGATGTTGGTAATGACCTAATTTTATTTCTATTAGTTTTTCAATAATTCCTAAATCCGCTCACACTTCTTGTTCCTAAATGGCCAAATCAGAGAACTCATCAATGCGAAACAGTTTCTGGAAATTGAGGGTTAAAAAGGAACAAATTAAAAGTATGGGATCTAGTGGAGGCAAGCTTCTTGGGGATGTGGGTTATTGTTGCCCTTCTTGTTTTGAGAAACAAATGTTGAAAGGATAAACATGCCTTGAATATCCAATTCATGTATCTGGTATGAATAATATTTAATAATGTATCTAGGAGAATGGGATTCATGTATACCAGTTAATTAGGGAAGAACCAGTGTTCGTGATTTATCTATAAATAACTTTGTAAGTTCTTATTTTCAATGAAGTCAATACAGAGAAATATAGTCTCCAAACTCTCCTCTCTTCCACTGTAGAATCCTCATAAGTCCAGTTATATCCAACAAAGTGGTATTAGAGCTCCTTATTGAAATGGCAAGTGGGAATCTAGTTTCATTGCAGGTTCCAAAATTCTCAAAAGAGAAGTTTGACAATTGGTGCATCCGAATGAAGGCCATACTCGGTGCACATGATGTGTGGGAAATTGTTGAGAATGGATATGATGCTCCTAAAGACATGAGTGCTCTTACACAAGCACAAAAGGATCAGTTTAATAGCATCAAGAAAAAGGATCAAAAGGCCGTTTCTCTCATTCACCAAGCATTGGATGAGGTTACCTTTGAGAAGGTTTCTAATGCCACCACAACAAAGGATTTGTGGGAGAAGCTTCAAGCTGCCTGTAAAGGAAAAGAAAAGGCAAAGAAAGTGCACCTCCAAAGTTTAAGAGGTGAATTTGAAGCTGTCCAAATGAATGAGACAGAAAAGGTGTCAGATTATATTTCAAGGGTCATGGGGATTGCCAACCAGATGAGAAGGCTTGATGAAGAGGTGACTGATTTAAGGATAATTGACAAAATTCTTAGATCAGTTACAGAGAAGTTTGATTATGTGATGACAGCCATTGAAGAATCAAAGGACTTGGAAGACATGACTGTTGAAGAGTTAAGTGGTTCACTTGAAGCACATGAGGAGAAGCTCAATAGAAGAAAGAAAGAGCCTGTGGAGCAGGTTCTACAGTCAAGACTTTCTCTGGGTGATAAAGAACAAAAGGGAGGCACAAGTCAAGGAGGACGAGGTCGAGGTCGAGGCCGTGGACGCAGTCGTGGTCGAGGACGTGGAAAAGGAGGAAGAAGTGTGCAGAACACTAATCAAAGCAGAGATGAAAATTTTCAATTTTCCTTTTTGAGAGGCCGTGGCAAAGGAGGATTAAGGCCATATCAGAAGAGGTATGAAAAATCCCAAATTCAGTGCTACACGTGTCATAAGTTTGGGCATTATTCATGGGAATGTAGATTTGGCAACAATGTGAAAGCCAATTTCTCTCAAGACGAAGATAAAGAAGTTAATGAAGAGGTGGAGACAACTCTCTTGTTGGCCTGCAAAGATATGAAGAATGAAGGAAAGCACTCTTAGTACCTTGATACTGGAGCAAGCAACCACATGTGTGGAAACAAAGAATTATTTGTGGAGCTTGATGAGAAAGTTGGCGGCAACATCACCTTTGGAGACTCCTCCAAAATACCAGTGAGGGGTAAAGGTAAAATTCTGATACGCATGAAGGATGGAAATCATCAATTTATCTCAAATGTTTATTATGCACCTGACATGAAGAGTAATATTTTGAGTGTGGTCCAATTGTTAGAAAAGGGATATGCTGTTTTCACAAAAGGTTGCAGTTTGTACTTGAAAGATTCTGCCAGAAGCTTGATTGCCAAAGTCTCAATGTCAATGAATCGTATGTTTGCTATGAACATACATACATATGTGGCTAAATGCTTAACATCTTGTTATAAAGATTCTTCATGGCTGTGGCATTTGAGATTTGGGCATATGAACTTTGGAGGACTTAAGGCTATGGCTAGCAAAAGAATGGTGAAAGGCTTGCCCTCGGTGAATCAACCTGATCAACTTTGTGAAGGTTGTCTTCTTGGTAAACAATCAAGAAAGAGCTTCCCAAAACAGTCTCAATCAAGAGCTACGAGGCCACTACAGCTAGTTCACACTAATGTCTGTGGGCCGATCACCCCATGTTCTTTTGGTAAGAACAAATACTTTCTTTTGTTCATTGATGATTATAGTAGAAAAACATGGGTATATTTTCTTAAAGAAAAATCGGAAGTGTTCAAGTGTTTCCAGAATTTTAAAGCACTTGTGGAGAAGGAAAGTGGCTTTAAAATCTAGGCATTGAGATCTGACAGAGGAGGTGAATTCACTTCTAAAGAATTTCAAGAGTTCTGTGCTGCCAATGAAGTTCACCATTTTCTTACTGCTCTAGGATCGCCACAACAGAACGGAGTGGTGGAAAGGAAAAACAGAACCATTCTAAATATGGCAAGAAGTATGATGAAGACCAAGAAGATGCCAAGAAAGTTCTGGGCTGAAGTTGTTGAGTGCGCAGTCTACTTGTTGAACCGCTGCACAACAAAAGTAGTTGAAAATAAAACTCTAATTGAATTATGGAGTGGAAGAAAGCCCTCAGTCCATCACCTGAAGGTGTTTGGAAGCATTGCATTTGCCCATGTTCATGATGGAAAGCGCACCAAGCTTGATGACAAGTGCAAGAAGTATGTGTTTGTTGGTTATGACTATAGAACAAAAGGATACAGGCTTTATGATCCAGAAGGTGGCAAAGCAGTCATCAATAGAGATGTGGATTTTGATGAAGAAGCCATGTGGGATTGGAAATCTCAAGAAGAGAATTATGAATTTCTTCCGTCTTTTGCAGAAGAAGATGATGAAGAAGAAAGGCAAGAAATCATCACTCCCCCAGCATCACCGTCTCGTGGTGAAATTTCATCCCCAGAAGGAAGCTCAAGTGAAGGGCCATTGCGAACAAGGAGGCTCAGTGATATATATCAAGAAACTGAAGAAATTGAAGAAACTAATGATGTTACACTATTTTGCCTTTTTGCAGACATTGAGCCTATTAACTTCAATGAAGCTGCCAAAGATGAAAAGTGGAGAAAAGCAATGGACGAGGAGATGAATGCAATTAAAAGGAATGATACTTGGGAGCTAGTCACTCTTCCTCAAGGACATGCTGCTATTGGAGTGAAATGGGTGTTCAAAGAGAAGAAGAATTCTAAAGGAGAGGTAGAAAGATATAAAGCAAGGCTCATGGCTAAAGGCCATAAGCAGCAACATGGCATCGACTATGAAGAGGTTTTTGCACCGGTAGCTCGTCTAGAGACAATAAGGTTGATAATTTCTCTAGCAGCTCAAAACAAGTGGAAGATTTTCCAAATGGATGTCAAGTCAGCCTTTATAAATGGCTCTCTTGAAGAAGAGGTGTGTGTTCAACAACCTCTTGGCTATGTTGTAAAGGGTGAAGAGAAAAAGGTGCTTAAACTGAAGAAAGCTCTCTCTGGCTTAAAACAAGCTCCAAGAGCTTGGAATTGCAGAATTGACAGATACTTTCAGGAGAATGGCTTTGTCAAGTGCCCCTATGAATATGCTCTCTACGTAAAGGTGAGCAATGGTGGAATTTTAATTGTTTGCCTATATGTAGATGATCTAATCTTTACAGGCAATAATCCAAGGATGTTTGAAGAATTCAAAAGGGCAATGAGCAATGAGTTTGAAATGACAAATATAGGACTCATGTCCTATTATCTTGGCATAGAAGTGAAGCAGATGGAGGAAGGGATCTTCATTTCACAAGAAAATTATGTGAGAGAGGTGCTTAAAAGATTCAACATGAGCAATTGTAAACCAATGAATACTCCGATTGCCAGTGGCATCAAGCTATCCAAGTTTGAAGAAGGTGGAAGTGTGGATGCAACTCTTTTTCGGAATTTAGTTGGAAGTTTGAGATATTTAACTTGCACAAGACTTGATATTTTGTTCAGAGTTGGATTGGTTAGTCGATATTTGGAGGCTCCTGCAACAGTTCATCTAAAGGCAGCAAAGAGGATCCTTCGCTATATAAAAGGTACTATTGATTTTGGGTTGAATTATTTTGCCTCTAATGACTTTACTCTTAGAGGTTTCAGTGACAGTGATTGGGCCGGAGATATTGATGATAGAAAGAGCACCACTGGATGTGTGTTTTACATGGGTGATACAGCTATTACTTGGAGCTCGAAAAAGCAGCCCACTGTTACTCTGTCAACTTGTGAAGCAGAGTGTGTTGCTCTTAATTCTTGTGTAACTCATGCAGTTTGGTTGAGGAATTTGCTAAAGGAGCTTCATGTCACACAAGAGGGCCCAACGGAAATATATGTTGACAAAAAATCTTCAATTGCATTGGCAAAGAATCCTCAATTTCATGAACGAAGCAAACATATTGATACCAGGTATCATTATGTGCGCCAGTGTGTTGAAGACAAAGTGGTGCAGCTAATTTTTGTGAAATCTCACAATCAGATGGCAGACATCCTTACCAAGGCTCTCAAGTTTGATGATTTCAAGAAATTAAGAAGCTGTCTTGGAGTTGGAAAAAGTCATGTTTAAAGGGGGGTGTTGAAAGGATAAACATGCCTTGAATGTCCAATTCATGTATCTGGTATGAATAATATTTAATAATGTATCTAAAAGAATGGGATTCATGTATACCAGTTAATTAGGGAAGAACCAGTGTTCGTGATTTATCTATAAATAACTTTGTAAGTTCTTATTTTCAATGAAGTCAATACAGAGAAATATAGTCTCCAAACTCTCCTCTCTTCCACTGTAGAATCCTCATAAGTCCAGTTATATCCAACAACAAAGTAGTGGGTGGAGGAGCAAAGGGAAGATCTAGGGAGGATTGAAGAAAGGAATGCCTTTGAGGGGGAGGAGATGGGTGAGAAAGGGAGAGGAAGCAATATGTTTTGACGGAGAAGACAAGGATAAGAGAATTCTGACACCCCACAATATTTTATTGGATGAACCGGAGGTGTGTTGTGGTATGTGCTGGTTTAGGACGTGAATGTCTCGCTTCCCTTAAAAAAATTTGCATAGTGGCATGTTTCTGTAAATTTGAAGAATGTTAAAGTTAATTATAAAGTTTTTCCTTTTTTATTCCTCTTAGCTTTTGTTGACATCCATTTGCCGTGTCATAAAGGTGTTCCGCGTCGAACTTAGGTAAAACGAAAAAAATCAAAAAAGTGTGATATTTCACATTCACGTTAAATTTGGGTCGACTTAACAGTTATTTTTTATTAACATTTTAAAGAAAATAAATATTTTTTTAATTTTAATTTCATCATTATATATTTATTTTAATTATTTATTTTATCACAAAATATTTCTTAATTTTTTTTAATGTAATATAAATAAATATATATCAATTTATTTCAAAACTTTTATTTAAAAAAAATAATTTTGAAACGAAAAAAAGTACAAATCAAACTAGAGTGTAGTTATAAGTACATAAAATTTCGTTAACATCACCCAAATTATTAATATTGTATTTAAATATATTAATTTTATTTGATTTAATTATTAAAAATAATTAATATTAATTATTTAATAAATTAAAATTAATTTTTAATTAATATTTTTAAACATTATAATTAACTATTTAAAAAATTATAAAAAAATAAAATTTCAGTTGAATCAAATACCGCTATAATTAATTTGTGTGGTCTCAGCAAAAATTGTGTAACGGTATCACAGCCATCAAGCCGGTCCAGAATTAATTGATATGGAAACGTGATTGACTTAATTGGTTTTTTAAATAATATTTTTATGGGAATTTTTTAAAATAATATTTTATATAAATAATATTATAATTATATTATTATGTAAAATTATAAATTTATAATTATAATATGATATTAATTAAATAAAATATAATATTAAATAAGTATATAAATACAATATCATAATAGACCCTCAATTAAAATAAATTAATTATATAATTATATATTATATTATACATTTACAACACTATATAATATGAAAACTATAACATTTTGGTATTTATATAACTGAAAAAGTAGAAATTGCGAAATCAGAGGCTCCAGCTGGAGAGTTATTGAATTGGGATGACATTCAGAAGATGAGATACCCTGGGAACGTTGCTTGTGAAGCTATGAGACTTGCCCCACCACTTCAGTCCCTTTAGAGAAGCCATAACTGACTTCATTTTCAATGGTTTCTCTCCATTCCAAAAGGGCTGGAAGGTCAGTCTCTTACGTTAATTAATTGATTGCCATAGAACAAGAGCCGAGTCCATATTTTATCATTGCAAATTCAAATTCAACTCAAATAAATTTATGAATTTTGTTAGCTCATCATCATCAAGGACTGGGTACATATATAATTTTAGTCAAACATGAATATTTTGTGTAGAATACCCAAATCTACACCTAAAGTATAATGGCAGAGACAGATTCAATTTGAACAAAAAATGGAGGTAAATCAACCAACAAAATTTTTGACTTGTACAAATTATCTCAAATTTAATGTATGACATCATTTGACGTCAACAATCTATTAATTTGTTATGTCGTTAATAAGTTCATTATTAATGGATTACTGATGTCAGATGACATCACATGTTAAATTTCAAATGACTTATCCAAGTCAAAAATTTTGTGGGTAGATTTATACCACATTTTTTGTTTTGGGTAAATCTGTCCCTCCTATTATATTTGGAGGTGAAATTGGGTATTTTACCAAATGTTTTATGTGGTTCAACTAATTGTCTTGTAAACTGTATATAACTAACTCTTTAATATGGACATTTCTCATTGAATATTTAATTGGATTTATCTTACTTGGAACTAAGGATACAGAATAGTAAGTAATTAATAAGGTATCAAAAGGTATTTAACATAGTATCTTTATTTAAAATTTTCAATTGAGACCTTGTTAGTTTTCAAAATTAAATTAAATATTAGTTTTTAACATGTTAGGTTTTAGATTATTTTAAATTTCAGTAATTAAGATGTTAGTATTTACATTTTTTAAAGTTTATTACAATTTAGGGTGTTAGAGTTTAATTTTTTTTAAGTTTAATTAAAGTTTAAGATGCATAATAGGGTTTGAAATTTAAATGTTGCAGTTTAAATTTTTAAAGTTAAGGTTATATTATTAATTGTTAAGGTTTAATATTTAAATTTAAAATCACAAAATTAAAAATTAAAAATTAAAAATTATTATATTTAAAAAAAGAAAAAACTAAATAGCTACAGGACCAATCGGCTCGGGGACCGATCGGTCCCTGTAGCATAACTTTTGTTATTATAATTAATTTATGCGTAAGATTAAGTTTTATTTTTTTGCCTTATATAATATATAAATAATAATTATATATTTTTTAACGAATATCTCGTTTTTAAGAGTTTTGTATGACAAAAAGATATTTTTAATTATTATTTTTATGTTATATTAAAATATTATTAAATTATATATAAATTAATTATAAATTTTTAAATTTATAGTTTTAAAATACAAATTAAAAGTATTTTTTATTATAAATATATACAAATATATATAAATTAATATTAATTTTAATATTAATGTCAAGTAAGTGAATTTAGTTAGATAATTAATAAATTAAAAATTATTTTTTATTTTTTTAATATAAATTTATAATAAAAATATATTTAATACATTTTTAATTTATATATTAAAAATATAAATTAATCGATTCGAGCCTTCAAGTTAAGCAATTCGTCCTAAACCTTGGATTTAGTTGATCAGAAGTTCGCTTCCTACCAGTGCCTTGAAAAAATATTCTTCATCTCCAAATTCCCCAATGATAAAATATATATATATATATAAATTAAACATTAATTATAGTAACAGATAATTTGATATGAGGCTAATCACATCAATTATTTTAATCATGATTAGAAATTCCTAAATATTACTGTTTTCCCAAAAATCTTTAATTGGTTTTTACCACGTAAGTTTAGTTGTTAGGTGTGTCACTAAATTTGTCTAAAAATAAGAAAACAGACCCTTCTTTTTCTTTCCAACGATCGACCTTCAAAAAGGATGATTGGAAAGAATGTCTATGAAATAAATTATGTCCCAGACAATATTGCAAAATAGAGGGTCGAGTTCTGCAAAGTTGGTTACTAATTGCCTTGGAAACTTCTGAGGACTTTACAACCACAAAAGCATAATAAAAGTTACAAATCCTAAATTAACACAAAATCCTAAGACAACTAATTTAACATAAGATTAATAAAAGAAAACAACATGCCATAAAAATAAAATTTACAAACAGCAAAAAATATAAAGTCACAGACAATGATTTTTACTATGCAATCCATAACAATTAAACTTAATTACTTGCATATTTAAAATAAAAATAACTAAACTACTTAATAACTAAAACTGAAGGAGAATCTACTAAATAATTAAAGTCTAGAAACTTATCAAATTAAATATGAAAATTGAAATTAAATAAACTGCATGTCTGGCTGTTGTGCAGAAACAAAAGAACAAAGGCAAAAAGCATTCAACCTATTTACATGAACAAATAACATAAACAAATAACATAATTGAATCCATAAAAAAAAGAGGAACTAACCAAATCAACAAGGCAGACCTGTTTTGCAAGCTAAATTGCTTCCAAATGCTTAAAACCTAACCTAAATTGAAGTCATTGACGAAAGATATGAACAAGGATGGAAAAAACTAACCTAAGGCTATGAACAAGAACAGATCTTGCAAACTAATCTGGAAACTATTGTTGAAATCTAGAAAAAGCAATTTGAAAGCTAAAAAACATGCTCTGGGCAGTGTGTATAGGACAGGCCGTCTGTAACTGATTTCTTCTCTCTGTTTTTCTTTTCTTCGGTGCTGGGAAACTTCCTTCATGTTTCTCGGCCCTCTTCCACCATGATCAAGTAGTGGGGGTTCCATGTCTGGCAGTTATCCAGTAATTTTATTTAATCTTATCTCCAACAAGATCTTAAAGATAACTACCTAAAAACTCTCAACTTCCTACTTTAAATCAAACTCAAAATACCAAAACCTAGTTTATCTTCTGACACTTGAAATCCAACTTCCTTATAATTCCGTTTGGGCCATTGAATTTCAAGTTAGGCCAACCCAAATCAACCTAACCCTATTAAAGATTGGACTCACTTCTAACACATGACTTTTATCTCATTAATTTATTTTTAAGGTGTAAACAGTTACCAAATTGTTTTCCACGAAAGTAGGTAGGCGGATGTGATCTTGTTGGCGAGCGAAACTGGAATCTAACTATGGAGTAGTTACAATATGGCATTAATTGAATTTGAAAGTTGAATGAATTGACAACTCCAAAACTACCGATTTTAAGGATTGTCTGCCTTTTTTTCTTGAAACCAAAATCGTTTCACATAAATCAGATCTGTAGGACAACCGTGGAGCCAAGGTAAATAAAGAACTAACCAATCGCACGTCCTGACAGGGGCGCAGCATCACGGAATCAACTTAGATCATACTCTCTGATCTTTCTAATTTAGTTTTCTCATTTATTAAATGGTAATTTTGTTTTAGTACCATTTAACTTCTACTAAATTCTACTATACTAATTATTAGATGAAAAAATAAAATTAATATTAAAAAATTCATTCCAAAATTTAATAATCTTTATTTTACAATTTAATTATTTTATAATTTAATATAATTTAAATTATAAAACAAAATTTTCTTTTGTTTTACTATTTTAATGATAAAATAAAAACATTAATTGTATTGAAGGATTTAACTCTTACTTAATAATTAATGTTATATAATTTAATATAATTCAAATTATATAACACTTTTTATTGTTAAATTTGTGTGCTTTAATTTAGTTCTCCCTTATTAAATTGGAGTATTTCAATTTAGTTTCTTTGTATTTCTTTTTCTTTTTTTTTTCAAGTTTTTCTAATATCTACTCTTATAGCACAAATTAAAAATATATTTATTATATATTTTTACAATTAATTTATATTAAAATTAAACTATGAAAAAAAAAAATTGTTTTCAAGACTAATACCACTTGAAATATTTAAAATCCCTTTCTTATGCAACATGGAATCATCGATAACGTTTTCGCCCAATTGCCTTATAAAACGGTTAGCACAACGTTTCTCAAAATTTAAACCCTTTCTTCCCCTCTGAAAATTCAAGTGTCGAAGTGTGCTGCCATAGATTACCTAAAATAATAACGGGGTACCAGTAGAAAGACAACCCCACAAAATAAGCACAATGAACAACAGAAAGAAAGATTATCAGCACACCGTGGATTCATCCGCTGTATTTTCGGTAGGGGTGAGTCGAATGAGCTAAACACCTAATTTATCCACATTGAAGAAACAGCTCTGAAGGAGATACAAGTGCCTCAAGATTGATTCACATAGAGGACCGGGACCAGCCCGGCCATTTTGCCGTCCCTCCCTGGCCGTTTCTTCTTCACCTGCAACCAGCACATGTTAGATAGAAGGCAGAAAGAAAATAACATGGGAAATTCAAAAGCATTATGTTTACCATGCAAGCAGGCTTTTCAATCATATCATCAACTAACTACAATTCCTTTCTCTTTAGATATCATATTACGTATATATAACAAAATTCTTTGAATTGTAGCCTTTTTAATACTTACATAGAACCATCCATCTACTTCATACTCGACTTCTATCTCTTCTCCTGCCGTTAAACTCAGCTGCAGTCAAGAAAAGCCATCATTAATCTTCCTTTGTGTTGCATCTAAAGCAACTGAAAGGTTTCACTTCAGATGGGGAAAACCAATTTGATTAATTGATCAATTATGCATCATAGAACAGAATAAAACCCCATTGACTTTATCTTTTACTGGCCTATCAGGTATAAACCTTAATATCCAGCTTATGACGAAATGAGAGCATAAAGAACAGGAATGAATGCCGACCATCCATAAGTTCATACTTCCTAGAATTATGGACTGGTAGGTTCCAATTTCAAAGGCAAAGTCATGTGGTCAGACTTACCTCATCATCTCCACCTGCAGTGAAATCATAAAGTGCTGTTCCAAATTGTGGATTTCCAGATGAAACACGTTCGTCGTCTGGGAATCCAAAACTTTGAGATCCACGCCCAGCTAGGGGATTCTCAAATGAGTTATACCTATCAGGCGATGAGTATGGTGGCGGCTCTTCTCTTATCTGATAAGACTAGATGAATTAGAATTGTAACTTTATTTTCAGATACAAAACTAAATTTGGCTACAGGAAAGGAACCCTTACAGGAGAACCAAGACCATCATACATTGATGAACTGTTAGACCCACGTTGGGGCCTCTCCCGTTAGAGATACACATTTAATTAAAAACATCAAAACAATGATAGTCAGACAACAGGTTTAAGTGAAGAAGTGTTTAGACATTTAATCTAATGTTTTCTCTTCATTAATACTTTCAACCCAAAAAAAAAAAAAAAAACCACCTAAAAATCAAGGCGCCCATATGCCATCTTAAAACCAAGCACTCAATAATTATGGAAGTAAACTTCCACTGATATTTGAAGCACCTAATATCTTCAGTTTAAAAGCAAAAAATAAATCAATTATCAGCAAGTCCTAAATTCCCTAATTACAAGTCAATACAAGGAACACAAGTAAAATGTATGCATGCACTATAAAATAAAACTCTACTCATTTGATGGGGCACTTTCTAAAAAAAACAAGAGGCAGAAAGGACAAAAAAAGCCCTGTACTAATTGGTTTTTGAATAAGGGCTACAATGCTACAGCCCATAGAGTACAGCGGCTTTTTTGCAACATCTTGAAAGAAAGGTACAGGGGCTCTTTTGCCCTTTTTGCCACATTGCAAATAAATGATGCGCATGTTAAGTCAAAAATCAATAGGTAAGAAATATTCCCAGAATTCGGAAACCAATGCAAAATGGATAGTTGAAATCAGTAAATTGGTGCATTTGGTAATTGAATACATGTTCAACTTGAAAGTCATAAATTTTAATCATTAAATAGAGATTATAATAAAATGCATTGCATTAACAATACCGAGGTTTGTGAAGAGCTGTAGGTTGATGGCTTGGAACTGAACAGTGAAGGGTAATTCATGCCACCAAAGTGGGATGATATGGAAGTTTCAACTGATCCTGTTGACTCTGGGGAAGAAGATCCAGATGATCTCACATCATCTTCCTGTAAGTTTAAAGGTCAGCAAATACGTCATTACGTTTCCTCTGAGAATTCTGGAAATGCATAAAGTTTAACACTCCAAACTCTTCATGCTACACTAACTTGACAACAATATTGGCACAACTCATACCTCTAATTCTGGAGCCTCTAAAAGTGTCTTGGCCCACATATCGTCATAACTAACTGAAGGTCTGGATATGATGTTCTCCTCATCAACATCTGGAGCATCAGTTCCAGCACCAGCAAGAAATTCATTTACCTGCATTGAGACCATACTTATTTAATAATATCACACTGCTCCAAAGTGAAAAAGAGAGAAGGTATGAAATATAGCATGCATTAAGTAAATAGATACATATGCATGAGAACTGAAATTCAAGACAACTCTATTCTCAACACATTAATCAAGGACGAAAAATGAAAGAGATCAAATGCCCAGGTTCCTCAACACTAGAATCTCTTAGATGCCATGACACCTGTTGATTGTAATATTTTAGAGCTCTGTGTATGGAATTACATTAGTGACAAAGGGTTTTAGAACATATTTTGAAGTACTTCTTGTAGCAGTGAAGTTTTGATGGTTGAAGAATCCCAAAAAATATCATATTAGCTTGGAGAGCTTCTCCCTCATGTTCAGTTTGCTGCAGAGTCTGAAACATTAGGAGATGGAACAGTTCCATCAAGGGACAGAACATTTGACTTGCAGAGCTCCAAAGTTGTGACTTGGCAATAGTCATTGATTCATTCCTTAGTACTTACCCACCTCTCTCATAAATGAATTTACAAATTCTATATATTTTTATGTTTCATACCACCAAGTTAAGGATTGTTTTGTAAAGAGGCTATAAGACTAGTTAGATTTATGGTCACGAGCATTGCTGCATTGCATGGTAGATGAATGTAAAATGATGTTGAAATGGGTGGGGAATCATTAAGAAAATATAGGGTCAGAAATGAAGTTAAATGATTTAGATAGCCCAATTTTTCTTAGGTAGCATCAATTCAGGACAAATTAGGAGAAGGATTACTTTGCTGGTTTAATTCTGTGCAACCTATACCAAAAAATGCTCCACTCTGTAACAGTGATGTGATATATTTAAAGGAATAAAAAGGTGTAAAGGAATGCAGGAGATTTAATGAGTTCAGGTAGTAAGAAAGTATTTAGCATGCGTAGATTTCCAAAAGAACATAACCCAGCTTAGATGGAAAGAAGAAAAAGGATTTAAATAGCCTAACCCAACTAATTTGATATAAAAACTTCAAGATAAATTATCAACAATATTTCAGCTCTGAATGAATGATTATGAAGAGAAAAGCATGCTAAATTGAAATCAGATCAAGCAAATTCTTACCCTGTTCATTGCTGGCCCATCACCAAGGTTTGCTGCCCAAGCATTTACTAGGTCATCATCAAGTGTATCAGGTTGAACAGGTGCAGGTTTTGATTCATAGATAAGTTCAGAAATTCCAGTGGCCACAGCTGGATCACTTAAACCAGTTGACACACTAATGTTGTGCCTTGTTCGATATATGTCAATAAGCTTTGCACTGGGAAAGATAAAGGAGAAAATTGAAAAAGAAACAAGAAGAATGAACGGGATTAGAAAGGCAGAGGTGAAAAGGCAACAAAACCATCGCAAACATGAAATCAATGAAACCACTGATATGGTAGAAAAATAATCAAGCTGAGGGCCAGCTGGCCATACCTTATTGGCCCCAAAGGTAGGTACTTTGCTCTTGGAACATAACAAAAGAGTGAGACAAGATCCAACAACCTTTCATGGGTCTCATATAATTTTTTAAGCTCATCATCTGTCCATTCTTTTTTAGCATTATCATGGTTGCGAATTTCCCTGGTTGAGAGAAAGAGAAGATACTTATCAGACACCATCAAGGGAAAGAAAGATTGAAATTAAGCATTAGAAAGTTTTTCAAATCTTACTTGATCAGGTCATCTTGGGCACCATACATTTCATCAAGAACCTTAATCATGGGAGTTATTAGAACACCAAGGCCTGTACCACTGGCCCCTTGATCTTCACCATTGCTGAGATGCATTTCTGATAACTGAGACTGCATGCCACCTTGTGCTAAGGTATGTAAAAATTCATATATCTGTAGCCTAAAAGGCTCACCAGAGCGTATCGCCATTGTTGTGAGAGCTTGAACAGCAACAATGCGAATCTGGCATGTCAATATAAGCCAGAAAGTTAAAGTAGAACACCAATCGGCAAGGGAAAATACTTCCCTGATCAGTGCTAGCTGAGTGAAAATAACCACAAGGACAACAAAACAACAAAGAATTATTAGATAAGGACAAGTGTACAATGGCCCTTTTAAGTCTATCTTGTTCATCTGCACAAAAGACAACTTTCCTTTTCATGCAAACAAAATGCTAAACATCATTTTTTTTTTCTTTTGCAACCATAGGATATCTAAAATTTTAAAAGAAATGATGTATGTGCACTCCCTGTGGAATAGGCAGAGCATGAGGTTTTTTTTTTTTTTTTTTACCAATGACCTGCTGTTCTAAGTAGAAGAAGCTCGATTCCCCATAAGCAAGATCTCAAGTTCGAGTCTTGTGAATGGAGAAACAAGCACTAGGAGAGTTTCCGGCCTTATGGGGTCCGATGCGGCTCGATTTCGGAGTAATTAGGACCCAGTGTGATTGTTGGATACCAGGAGGTTAGTATAAAAAAAAATTAAGTTTTATTTTATTTTATTTTTTTACTTATTTCAAATGAAACAGGCATATAGTTGGATGAAAAGTAATAATATGGTTTAGAGTGTCAAATATCAGAGTAGGGTAAGCTCAAGGGAACAAAGAAATTTAAGTTTTCACATAATCAAGAAAATAACAATAATAACGACATCTTTGCTTGTATGCATATACAGAAACAGTTAATCAGACAGGGTGAACAGAATACATACCACAACACAGAACAGTTATGACAACATCAAAAGACAGTAGTTATCTATTTTAAGTTTACCTCATCCCAGATGCAAGCAATAAAGATATAAGCAAGAAATAAAAACCTGGGTAGAAGCTCATACCTCCCAGCTACCACTGAAAGCACATCTTTGAAGTCGAGTCAAAGCACCAGCCAGAGTAGGGTTACGAGAACTAGCAGCAGCAACCATTTTATCTGCATCCAACATCATCAATGCAGTACCTGGAGGGGTTGCAGATTCCCAAGCATATTCAGAAGCAGCGTAATTTGCATTCTCTCCAAGGAACCATACCTGCAAATACATTTGTTGGAATAAACTCTTAAGAATTAACTTTTATGTTAGTGACATAATCCATTCAATATTTACTATAAAGATTCTTACTGCTGCTTGGACTAATCTCTGCAATGCAAGGGCTGACTTTGGATCAGATGCTGATACCATATCAACTGAGGTAAATCCTGACATTGATCCAGGCTGTGGTGGTGGAAGGTCAAGAACAATTGTGACTGCTTCTAAAGCTGTGTGTTTCCCATCAGGACCAGCTCCAACAAGACATGTCTAGAAATATATTAGTACATAATTAGTGGCAAATTTTTTTTCTTACAGAGAAATCTGGGAGGCCCTGGGGAGCAGTAGATATAAAACTTGGACCTTTCCTTCCTAAAGGAGGAACAACAGCCAAATACAGGTTGTTGTTAGTTATACTTTTCCTTTTCTTGAGGGAAACACATTGTTCCTATAAAGGATCAAGCAGGTGAAGATAAAGATAAATGCACATTCTCAAAAACTTTAACTTAAACCACTTCCTACCATAATAATTGGAAAATGGATAGCCAACTTTAAATTTAAATGTAAAGGGAGGAACAGCATGCAATAACAAGATAATGAAATTCTAAACCAAAGTTTAAATCTTATTATGCTATATTTGGGATGCTAAAGGACGAAACTGAATTTCAACATTGGAACTCACCCTCTTAAGAAAGGGTTTTAGAAAGCATAATAATTATTATTCAAATAATGAATGGTACCTACTTTCCATAGGAGTTGTAACACATCAGCATCAATCTTCCCTGGAACTTTAGTGGCAAATATCCTTGCAATTTCAAGAAGAGTAACAGCCATATGTGGGGTTGCCTGACAAGACAAAGGAATTCAAGTACAATTATAAAAAAACCACTATATTTCCCTTTTTTTTTCATTAGTATTAAATCTTAAAGGCTGATAAAAAAATACTAATCTTAAGGAGCAGAACGAGACACAAGCAAGACGTACATAAAACCTAAAAATAAAAAAGCAAAATAAAAAACTTGTACATAGATATAACAGCATTCATAATTAAATAAAATTAAATATCTGCAACAGGATGTAATAAGTGCTAAATGAAGTTAACAAGGTACATAGGAATCAAGGCTTCCTAGCTTTCCATCAATTTTCACTCCTAACTACCCCATTTTGACAGTGTCATCTTTTTATCACATCTTTTTTCTTTGAGTTCTGATGGGATATGATTTGGAATTAAGGTGAGATAAGGAAAAAGAGATAATGTTCTGTTAGGAGTTGGCTGGTAAAGTGAATGATGACATAATGTAACTTTAATTGTAAGCTTTAATTTGTTATAGCAAATTTAAGTGGATTAAGCAACTTAGGTGAATTATAACATTGGTGAATTAAAGAGAAACTTGTGGACCAATTGCCAGATGATTTTAGTAGGATGTTTACAATAAAATCTTACCTTAAAACGAGCATGCAAAGTTAGCAGAACATCATTTAGCAGGGTTGCTGGCCAAGCTGGATCTGATAGTTCTGCCGCAATAATGGATTTTAGTTCATCAAATGATTCGTACGGGCTTTGCATCCATATCAATGCCTTGATGACCATTGCTCGAACATAAATGCATTCGCATGCCACAGTTGTTCTCACTACTTCCATCAAGGAGGCTAACATACCAGCAATTGTATCCTTGCCCCTTCCAACGTTAGACATAGAGGTAGCTTTTCGAATATCTGAGCCAAGAGAACACACAATCTTTAAATTATGATACAACCTGCAAGCACTTCAACCTTCTGAAGCATTTTTAAATAAAATAGGGCCTTGACATTCCATTCAAAATACTTTAACAGTACAAAACCCAAACCAAACAGGCATTTAAGTTATCAAACATAATATGGAGCAGTCAAAACTAAAATAAAAGGCAGAGGAAGTGATTAAAAAAAAAAAAACCTACCTTCTGGGTGAGAATCGTCATTCATATCTGAATCGACTGAATCTGCTGTATCAGAGAACGAATTAACATTAACTCCTTCATCAATATCCTGCAAACCTACAGCAAATGCTGCAGCACGACTTTTCCCCATCTCCTGCACCACTCTTGCAGCTGCGTGAAGTACTGGCCTAGAGAAACTACGGAAAGAACTCTCCAACCTGGGTTAAAGTTGGAAATGAACCTAAGTTAGGTTAATTAATGAAAGGCACTAGAGGAAGCTAATAGACCACCAAATTAGTTTAAGCAAATCTCCAATTACCCATTACCCCTTTTATAGAAATAAGCCCCATAGATCTAATAGATTGCAATTGAGAAAAGTAACCAGGGAAGAGGAAAGAGCTATATCAACCTTCTCATGACAAGTTTAATGAGGGGTTGTGGACGCCTTGTCTTTTGAGATTTATCTTTGGAATTTGATGGTGCTTCCGGCAACTTCAGAATCTCCCTCGTCAAACGGTACCATCCAGTTGCACGTTCTTCAGTCCTGCAGTGGGCAAAGCAAAGGATAACCATGGGAGAGGGGGACTACAACCACATCCATAGCAACAAGAGGTATCTGAAAGAAAGAATCTGAATAAAATGGTGAAAGAAACCAAGTTACCTCTCTGTTTTATCATATCTACCCAATATACATAAGATCACCTCAAAACAGACTCTTTCACTGGGGTCCAAAAGGAGTTGATAGAGCACAGAGTTGAACTGAGATTTAATGTCAGGCCTCTCTATAAAGGACACAATGTCCAGCCAATCATTGATAAATTCAATAAACACCACCAAGTTTAATGCCAAAGATTCACATTTGCATACCATCTAATGCTCGAGCCCGAGATATTGAATGGCACAACTTGGCTAGTGAAACTCTAGCAAGCACATCATGTAAATGGAGGACATCCTGCAAAGCCCCTGATTCATAACAACCATCTTACAAGTCGCAATTAGAAGAGAAGGTGATCAGAGAATGGATTCCATATACTTTTGATAAAATCGCAGCATAAATAAATAGGTCTACATAATACATGTACCACAGCTAGAGTGCCACTTGCTTCTCTTCAACCATCCAACTCAAGAATAAAAACTAACAATGAAAGAAGACATTACAACTTTAACTAAGCAAGAGGCTTACCAATTTTTAAAAATATTTTCCCTGTAACTTTGTTTCTATATAGATCTAAAAACATCAAAATTATAAATGCAGTACTACATGAAATTAACATGGTGGCTATCGGTACCAATAAGAAAGTACCTCCAGGGGCAGCAACCTTTCCTACATAAACGTGAAAAAAGGTAAAGCATTAAAGTAAACACAAACATGGCCACAACATGTCAAAAAAAAAATCTGCTAAACCAAACTATAAGAATGTGAAAGGGTTGAAATAACTTACCCAATGCCACTGCCACTGCATAAGGGTCTCTTGCAGCTAGCTCAGAGATAATTTCCAAAGAGTGCCTCACAGCCACAGGATCAGCAAATGAAATCCTGAACTCAGATATGGATTTTCTTTAGAAGTGAACAAAAAATGGTAGCAGTGTGCTATAGCTAAAGAGAAAATGGTATTTCCAGAAGAAAAATAAAGTCTAATGTCTATGTTAGGCAATAATCATATTGAGAATTTTAATTGGCCAAAAAAGTGCAAATCAGCAAAGAGATTTTCAGTTTCTGACCAAAAGAAAAAGAGAATATTTTTAGTTTAAAGGCTATGATGAAGCTACACAGGCTTGCCTTCTCAATTAAAGGCTCCAGAAATGCCTATAAAAGCAAGTAGTTAACACACACATTCCAAGGGCATGCACTTCGAAGAAATACCATGATTGCAGAAAGAATGTGTTTGGTACGAATGAATTTAAAAAATTATTTGCTATTCCATAAATCTTGTATTGATATGGAAAGAGAAAAGTTGATTTTAATATTAGTTCTTATGTTTGGAATGAATGAGTTTTATTAAATATATGGAATTCATTCTAAATCCATAAGTTAGTATGCTTGGAATTCAAAAAGAAAAGAAAAGAAAAAAGAAAAATTAATTTCAAATCCACAACTTCAGTTTGTATGATTTACTTACTACTAACTGAATTCCTACTTAAATTGAAAGAAACTGGAAACAAATTCCACAGTTTAAAAGGTATAGGTAACAGAATACTAAAATGCCCCTCAAAATGTAATTCCCCCTCCCCTTCAAAAGACTGACTACTGAGAAATCTTATGAGAAAATAAAGTCAATTCAATTCTTCTCCTTTTCTACACATGGTGATTTCATGGATAAAGAGTTCCAGACATGAGATCATTTGCAAATAAATTTCATATTAAAATCATTTTAAAATTCAATGAATTTTTCTTTCATCTTAATTCCAAACACCAAATAAATTATAAAGTGTCTAATTCATTTATAGATTAATTCCAAAGTGAATTCATTAGGAAACAAATGAATTCCATTTTTATTTTAATTCTAAACATAGCCAAAACTTTCCATAAACTTGATCTATTACCATATTATGAAGAGAAAATCGGAATTAATAATGACTCCTAGACTATTCCTTAACTCACTAGGATTAGGACTCCAAAGATTATGGGAAACCAATAAATTAATTAATTAAAAGCAAATAACCAACTAGGACTTTAAAATAAACGTAATAAAACCTCAACTCCTAAATTCTAAAAGTATAATTACTCAAAAATAATAATCAGTTATGTTCTTTAGTGGCTGCATTAAATATTTTACATGTCACAACCCAAAACATTTCCAATGCTCAAGTATCCGATATACTACATCTTACTGAAATTAAAATTAACTCTAATAACTATAAATTTGTGTTAAACAAAACTGCAAACCAGAATTTAGACAACTCACCCTTGCACAGCACGATGCAAAAATGCTGGATTCCCTGGATCCAGAGGGAGCCTTCTCAAAGCACTAAGGGCAGCATATTGCAGATTACTCCGGATGATAGACTAATAATAATATAATCAACAAACAAATCTTAATGAGGAATATATTCACAGTTTTTCATTGTAAACAAAATATATATCATATATTGTTTACTGTGCCAGAGTTCATATTCAAAGGGAATGGAAAAAATCCACTGGCAAATCTCAGTATTATTAAGATACCCAAAAACCTCTCCATATTACGAAGTCATGTACTATCTCAGTTTTCCAACCAAAAGCAAAGAGCCTGACAAAATCAATTGGGATGTCACTTTTTTCCTACTTATATAATTCAGGCAGGTTTACTAAGGGAAAGATGAATTTTTGTATTTACTACCAGAAAAATCTTTTGCAAAAGTCAACAATAACGATACTGTAGATTCTAGATGAGATTTCTGCCCTTCAAATTATCAATTCAAAAAGATATTCCATGAAAGATTTAATACTCCCTTCTGAACTCATTAAGCTGAATTCTTTTCTTGTTATCACAATGGCTAGCTTGCCTCCTACCAATAGAAAGGGTAAAATAGATAAGAATCTTCAACAAGATGTTTAAATTACCTATGACTATATGGACGGTTGACATTTCCCATTCGAATAAAGCACATATTCACAATGTGTGTTTTATACTTCATTATAGGCATTGCAACTCAATCTCATATGGTCTTTCTTCAGAAAACATTTGGCTTGTTAATGTAGTCTCAACTCCTATTCTCTTACTGACAAACTTCCCACCTTAACTATTAAGCCAAGCAACATTCCCTAACATACTAATGCTGTAAAAACAAAAGCATTTTTCCACCACCTATAAAGATCAAAATAAAATGATAAATATTGTAGAAATGAAAACAATAATATGGGAAAAGAAAATTGCAATGACTGTAAGGGAAAAGCATCAAAATCATTAGTCTACCAATTCTAATTTTTACCAATAACTGACAATAAACAACATCCTATGCTCTTACCTCCTTATCACCACCTTTAGCTCCAAACAGGCCTTTCTTCTTTTGTGGGACATCAGCAACCTGAAAACCAATTTAAAAATCTATAAGTTGTACAAAAGAAAATAGACAAATAATGTAATAAAATAAACAAGTCTATATGGTTCTTAAATCTTTCAACTATAAAAACAGCAATAATATACTATATCTTTTGAAAAAGGGTGACTGACAACCTCTATGGGTTACCCAAGTAAAAAGCAGTACAACTCAAAGGCCTCAAAATTAATGCAAAACTTATTTTGCAGTCAATAACATTTCAAGCTAGATATCTCAACAAGAAAGGTAATGGAGAATTAGCAGGGCAAAAACAACATAATGGAAGACTTCTGTAAGATACACTTGCACAATATTGGTCTTAATATTCTTATCATGTTAAGATCTTAACTTGAACCCCTGTGATTTTGCCAAGTACCATCATTACCCTTGATATCACTTCCACCCTTGACATCACTTCCATACATAATTTGCATGCCATCATTCATAATTCACTAAGAAGTTAACTTTCTAGATTTCACATCCTCATTTACAAGATGGAAATATTTGAGATTTTCAAGAATCTTCAATGATTTCATAGGCCATTGTATCTCTTTAATTCTATCAAACCCATCGGCCAACCCATCCTTATGAATGATAACTCAAAAATCAGTATGCTAAACATTGTCAAGAAGGAGAAGCAATCTGAAGTAATGATCCCAGATTTTCAGGTCATAATATGTTCTTAAAAGCCATAAATTTTCCATCAAATATGTCTTAAGTAATCTTTACTCGCTCCATACAACTATCCAAACTTAATCCAAATTTAATTACAATAAATTACATTTGACTTTGAGCTAGACAATGTAAAGTAATGGTAAAAAACACCTGGCCTTCTTCTATCCTAAAAAACAGACTTACAAATCAACCTTTCTAAATAATTCAAAGATCTGTCTCCAGCAGATCAGAAAAAGAACTAGCACAGCATCACATAGTCAAAGTATTCACAGAGAAACTAGTGTATAACTCACCTTATTAAGAATGTCAAAGACAATTTCATACAATTTGGACAAGATTTCAGTGTTGCTTGAAGGAGCATATGTGAGAGCCTTCAAAGCTTGTAATCTCCGTGCGTGAACTTCAAAGATTAAAGATGACAAAAGTCAAAAACAAGAAAACTCACAATAAAAATTACCATATTTCCAGCAAAGTTTAATATGTAGGAAAGTAGGTTTATATTAGATAAAGAAAAAATAAATCAAAATGAGAAAAAACTTTACACTCAACATCAGTATTCATAGCCTCTGTTGTAAGTTGATTTACTATTCGTGGCACAACATCAGCTCTAGTCACCCCACCAACAGCATCTATGTCAGCCAAAGCATCCCAATTTGGGGTGGGGATCCCACCACCTTGACTCAAACCTTGTGAACCATTATCTGATAAAATTCTGGCCAAGTAATAATAGACATAGCGTAGGACAGTCCTATCTTCACACTGCTGATTAAGCTGTACAATGAAGAAAAGCATCAACAAACATGACATCATTTTATGAATCCAAATAATGTGCTTAAAATTCCTACTTAGGATTTTCTACACACTAGAAAAAGGAATCACAAATGGAGATTCATACCATCAGAAGAGATGGTGCCAATGAAGGGTCCACGGAATTGTACACAGCAAGTTTAGGAAATACATGATGCACTAATTGCTTCTGGGAACTTTTCTATTCACAAAAACAAAATATATCGGGAAAAGAAAACAAATACATTAGTCAGAAGCACAGAGAAACTCAAAGATAACTTTTCTAAATAAAACCTTGGATGAATTACTCGGAACAAACAAAAAAAAAGAAAAAATTGAAAAGCATTACATTCATTGGCATGAAAAGCCGAGAATAACGTCTACCTGATCGGAAGTAGCAGCTAGTTCATGTATACTCCTTGCAAGTTGTGCATATGATACTGGCTGCAAAACGTACAAATCGCATTCAGTTGTCAACTACAACTGAAGAGGAAAGAAACAAAAATCTCAAATAATTCCCCGTGTCAACCGATCTTCTTCCTGACAACAATTCACCAACCTTCTTCTTTCGTTTTTGGCTGTTGTAAGGAATAATGTTTGCACGGACAGGATTCAGAGCAGCCTTGGCTGCAGAAATGGTATCGTTTTGAATCTGCAGCAGAGCCGCTCTCTTGGACTTCTTCTCTCCCAATGTGGTCTTCGTCGATACCTGCTGCGGTTGATATTGCTGCCCCGCCACCGTCGACGAGACAGACGAGGAAGAAGAATATGATGCGGCGGGCGGAGGTGGTGCGTCCGCCGTGATCAGATCCATCAGAGTGGTTCCTGAAGAGTCCTGGAAAAAAGGCTAAAGAAAGAATTAGAAACGAGAGCCAATGGGAAATTGTGGTGTTTCCTTGAGGAACTTACAGCCATGATTGATGTAATTCTCAACTACTCTGCAGTTGAAAATTATAATCTAAGCAATGGCCAGAACAACTTGGACAGTGACTGAGAAGCTGCTTTCCTTGGTTTCTTTCTGCATTCTTTTTTCCGTTACAACCCCGGGTCGGGTAATGTTTGTTTGTGGAAATGGAGAGAACCCAAAAAGGCGAAAAGGGTACTTTAACCAATGTACTTTTTGATATTGTTGAGATTAACCCCCTAACTTTTTTTCTGTAATATTTGAACCCCATCACCTATATATTGAAATAAATTAACACACTTACTTTTTGATCAAAATAAATTAGTTAAAATCTAACGTATAACATCATGAAACATCAATTTATCGTGAAACCCATTTTTCTAACTTGGCATATATGGAACCCCATTTGGTGACATGGGTTGATGTAGATTACTTTTTTGATGACATGGCCCCTGATTGCTAACATTACCCCTTTTATTTCCCCAAAAACTCACCCGCTCCAAAGCTCTTGCCAATTCATCAACACTATCTAGAATAAGGAATGACTTTAAGTTTAGGGTTTTCTTTAGGGCCGATTAAAGGAAAAATATAAAGCAAGTTGCTTCCATTAAACAAAGAACAAAAAAAAGAGCGTTGCTTTCAAACAAATTACAGGTTATTGTCAGATTCTCTTGTCCAACAAAGTGTGAAAGATTCATGATAGATCCTAGTGGCGAGATTTCGCTGATTGTGTAGTGCAAGACATCAACTCTATTAGGTTAGCCTTTTTTACCAACTTTTGTTGGACTTTTAGTACCGAAAGTTAGGGTTTCGAGAAATAGTGTTTATTTTTGCCATTATGTTGTCCCTGTCTCCAACATTTTGTGCTATGTGTAATAAATGTGTTTAATCTATTGAATTTTGTATCTTTATTTTCATTCTTGATATGTGAGTTTGGGTCATACTTTATATTGAATGTTTTTGTTCTAATATTTAACAAAACAACCAAATGGAAGAATTTTATGGGGTTTTGGTAATCAATCATGAAGGTACTTTCACTTATGGCCCACCATTACAGTATGTTAATGGGGTCTCGATTACTAAGCCTATGAATGGGGATAAACTTAATGCATTTGAAATTGCTAATTATGTTGTTTCTTTGGGATATGAAAAAGTTATGATAAAAAAACATATTGTTCAAATCACCATTAGCTAACATGAATTCCCTAAAATCATTGGCTGGGGATGACAATATTCTTACTATTCTTGCTATTCTTAGAATTTTGAAGAATGAAGGTGAGGTTCATCTGTATGTTGATCGTGAGATCAATTTTGTTGATGTAATCGACTTTTGTTTTGTTTATTTGTTGGAAAGATGCTGTTGTAAATAAGGGTAATGGGGTTGGTGTTGATGGTAATAATAATGAGAGGCCACTTGAAGTTGACAGGGGCAATGTCACAATAGAAAGGCAAGGTCTCCATAAGGACAATTTTAACAATTCACATAAAGAGTTTAATTCAAAATATGAATCTTTGAGTGATGAAGATTTAGGCAGTCCAACTGGCACTAATGATGAGGAATATTTGACACATTTACATACAACAAGAGCTTTGAGGAAGAAAAGGAGGGCTAGATCTGGAGTTGAAGAAGGTTTAACCTTTAATACTCAAGCTGGAAGTAGGGAAACAGCTCCAAAATCAACTTTAACAAGATCAGTCTCCAACACTATCAACTTCAACAAAATCAACAATAACAACAAGATCTAGTCCAACAAGGGTGAAACATGTTGTAAGAAAACCTACTCCACCAAGAGCAAGGGGTGTTGCTAGAAAGTTAATAACAGCATCTGTTGAGTCAACTGAGCAACCTTCTGTGGGTGAAGCAACTCCAGTAACTAAGTAGCCTTCTATAAATGTAGCAACTCCAGCATCTAAGCAACCTTCTATTGACGAAGCAACTACAGCAACTAAGCAACTTAATGTGGATGTAGCAATTGAGCCAGTGTCAAAGAAAAAAGGCAGGCCAAGGAATATACCATTAGAGCAACTATCTACTAAGGGGAGAGCAAAGTATAAGAAAACACTTGCTGTAATTAGAAGATACAAGACACTAAACATTAAGTAAAATGATGCACACTTGGCAGGAAGGTCAATCTCTGGAGATCCAATCACTTCTTCTCAACAATTACCCATTGATAATTTAGAATCTTCTGATGAAAGTGATGAGAGAGACAACCATTATGAAGACAGTAATGATCCTCGCAACTTGTGGACAAGTTCAAGTGATGTTGATGAAGACAAATATCATGTCTGCATTGATTAAGAAGAGGATGAACCTACAGACATATACTGCAATCCTTCATGGGAAATACCACACTTTCAAGTTGGTATAAGGTTTAAGGACAATGTTGAGTTTAAGGAGGCCATTAGAAAATACTCAATTGTAAGGAGACATGATTTGAGAGCATTGAAGAATGAACCCGATAGGCAAAAATATCATTGTAAGGCAACATGTTGTATTTTGGCCTCCTTAGACAATAAGGACAAAAGCTTCCGAGTGAAAAGTTACAACCGGGAGCACTAGTGTTACAAGACACGTGTAAATACGATGTGTATAGCATTATACTTTGCAAATTATTTCAAGAAACGTATCCATGAGACCCCTTTTTACAAATGCAAGACCATGATGGAAGATACCTACAATGAATTAAAACGCAATGTTAAGTTTGATAAGTGTATGAAGGCAAAGCAAATTGTGATCAAAGAACTAGAGGGTAATTTCATTGAGTATGGTAATTTTGTGAGGTTTGCAAGGTATTTGGAATCTCTTACTCTGAGAAATAAAGTTAAAGTGGTTGTTGACAGGCCTAGAATTGGTGGTCCTTTTGTGTTTCAGGGTATGTATGTTTGCTTGAAAGTGTTGACAGATGGGTGGAAGAATGGTTCCAAACCATTAATTGGGGTTGATGGGTGCTTTTTGAAGGGTGTTTGTAAAGGGATATTGTTAGCAACTATTGGAAGAGATGAAAACGAGCAGATGTATCCCATGGCCTGGGCTGTGGTTGAGTAAGAGAGTGGCAGCTCTAGGAAATGGTTCTTTGAGAGTCTAAGGGTGGATTTGAACTTAGGTGAAGGACACAATCTCTACATCGTTTCAAACAAGGGCACGGTGAGATTTTCATTATGTATTAATTTTTTTCCTATATGATAAAATTTTATGATTTATAACTATATTTTTTTGTTGTATTATCATAAGGCCTTCTTAGTGCAAGACAAGAGTTTTTCCCATTTGCATCTCATAGACATTGTGCAAGACACATTTACTATAATTGGGCTAAAAGAGAAGAAAATAAAGGTGATGACAAGAAGATAACATTCTAGAATTGTGTTAGAGCCACATTTGATAAGGAATGGGAATCTCAAATGAATTAGTTGAGGGCAAAAACTGAGCATTCATTAGTGCAAGACAAGAGGTTTTCCCATTTGCATCTCATAGACATTGTGCAAGACACATTCTGCTTTATAGCTTTCAAGAGAAACTTGTATTCCTTTCATTATGCATTATATGGATTTAAACCTCGTCGGCGTTTTGTTATTATGTTGTTAAGGGCAACTACTTGATTTCAAGTATTGGTTCATTTGGAAGGTTATTAAAGTTGCGGGGAGATCAATTTGAAAACGTATATTGTCAATTGATTGCAAGTATAATAGCATAGGGATTGAGCATGAAACCTTGTATTTGCTGTTTATAGTTTCATTAAGAATCTTGCTCTTGGAATCACAGGTAAATGGTAAGATGTTACTAACAGAGCTAGCATCTTATGTTTTATCCTGTCTTTGTGTAACTCCTATCTATTCAATATCTGTAATGTGCTAATTGGAGCATAAATTTTAACGAGCAATCAATGATCTGATTTTTGCTATGTTCTTGAAATTAGGTCAATGGAGCTTGAAAAGGCCGAATTTTCCCTTGGGAATGTCATAAATGTTGTTGTTAGTCAAGTGATGCTCTTGCTAAGGGAAAGAAATCTACAATTGATTTGGGATATTCCAGAGGAGATCAAAACTCTGGCTGTTTATGGTGATCAGGCAAGGATTCAATAGGTCTTGGCTGAATTTTTGTTGAATATGGTGCGTTATGCACCATCTACTGAAGGTTGGGTAGCGATTCATGTTCATCCATCTATGAAGCAAATATCCGATGGACTAACTATCGTGCATACAGAATTCAAGTATGTTTAACCCGCCTTCTTCTGAGTACATTTAGCCAGGGGCGGAGGCAGAAATTTTTTTCAAGCGGGACAAAATACTAAAATTTTTAAAGTTCAGGGGAGGCTAGATAATTTTTTATATACCAATTTGCAAGATTTTCAAATTTCAGGGGGGCGAGCGCCCCCCCTCGCACCCCCTGGCTCCGCCACTGCATTTAGCTGGGATTGGTTGCATGAATCATTTATCTCCATTCTATCCAATCATAGGCTACATTCTTCTAAAGATCTGGAAATCTGAAAATTTGAAAATGCAGAGTACATTGTTACTACTAACAATGTAAATTTTGGGATACCTTTCCTACCATGTTTCACTTTGAAACAATTGTTAATGTGCTTCATACGCTTTTCAATTATGGCTTCTGTCTATAGCTTATGTAGCACGAACAAAATAGAAAGTAAGTGGAATTTAATTTATTCTTTTTATCATATTATTGCTGACATAAATCAAATATTATTTAGCACTAGATGCTCATTCCATTAACAGTTGTATCTCTTGTGAAGGATGGTTTGTCCTGGTGAAGGCCTTCCCCCTGAATTAGTTGGAGACATGTGCCATAGCAGTAGATGGATAACTCAGGAGGGCCTACGACTTAGCATGTGCAGAAAAATCTTAAAGCTTATGAATGGTGAGGTCCAATACATCAGAGAGTCAGAACGATGTTATTTCTTGATTATCCTTGAACTTCCCATACCACCGAGACAGTCAGAGAGTGTTGACTAGTTTTCTGCCCTTGATATACCCCAGACCCTAGATCTTCATTCATCAAACTTAAAATGAGCTATCTTTTCTATCACATACCATGGGTGCTTTATTACTTCCTACTTTCATAACTTGACCTAAAACCCACCTCCTTCTATCAATGACCTTCAACACAATCATGAATTTTGGATAGAACTGGAAGGTAACTGTAAAATCTCATATTGAACTGCAATTCTGAGTTGCGTTCCAAGGTGAACAACTGTTGCAAGCTTGCAGTTATGAACCTCAACACATGATTGGACAGAACTGTTGTCTCCAACCTGTGAACATGTATGTTAAATCTAGTTTATGTATAATATCTTCTCGAAGCTACGCAGAGATAATTGTAACACACTCACTTATACATATATATATCTTCTGTAATAAAATCAGTTCTCTTTATTAAAATTTTAGGCAACATTGGTATTCTCAAATTCTGGTTTACATGTGCTTCTTGTGATGATTTAATGTAATCAGCGTGGAAATGCCATTCTTTAGATCATTCTTATTTTGTGACCTTTTTTTTTTCTTTTTTTTTTTCTGGCTACATTGGAGGGAATAGGGGACTAGTCTCTAGTAAAGGGAATGTCCATGGCATCCTCTAAAAGAATGCAGAGGCAGCTCAAAGAAGGTCGCACCTAAAAGGAAGATGGTGACCAAGTGTCTCTATAAAGGCACAGTTTTTTTTTTTTGGTGGAATCCATGAAGAGGCATAGTTTTTTTTTTTTTTTGGTTTCCCGCCCGGTATCTGAGGTTTCGCCTCGATTAATTCGGACCCGACCCGCGTCGCGCACCTGAAAATGGTGGGTGACTCTCTCAGCAAGGGCTGCTGCATATACAAGGTCTCGAACTCGAGACCTTCTTTAAACTGAAACAAGCCGCTTATCACTTGATCCAATCCCTCGTTGGTATAGTTTGATAATGCTATTTTGTAGTTGCAGCCTAGGTTTTTTTATCTTTTACACCCTAAAAATATATAAAATATATTTTATATATTTAATATTTATTTTAATTAATATTTTATATATTTTTTAAATACTAAAAAAACATAAAATCAAAAGCTAGAGCATTAAGAAATGTTGTCAAATCAATAGCAGAATTTGCCTCTTGCTAAGGCCATGAATCATTGAGCAGGTGTGGTTATGGCCACTTGCAGTAATGTTAAGGCTATAATTTTGTTTAATTTGTTTGTTAAACATAATTGATAACTAATATATATTATTTAATAAATTAAAATTAATTTATGAAATGATATTTTCAAACATCATAGTTAATTATTTAAGAGAAAATTAATTAAAAATAAAATTGAAATAACATAACTACCCTCTCTTTTTCCCACCCCTCCTCCCTCCTCACCACACAAGCCTGGAATTAAATAGAGCTAGGAAATTTTGGTTTGATACTCCAAAGTGGCAAATAGTTTTTAGAGAAGTTAGATGCATTTTTCATAAAAACTATTTAGCTTAATTTCAACTTTTATCATAAGAAAATCTTTTCAAAAGGTAAATTAAAGACGAACTAAATTTGATAAGTAAAATATTTTGGAAACTAAGCCAAATAAAAAAAATATGTAATAAGTCAAAATAACTAAAAGGGAACATTTTTAACTGCTGCAAGTATGTTTAGCATAAAACGCAAGAATTTGAATTCAAATTGTTTGCACAAATTATCGCCTTTATAT